TATGACTATAGCTTGAAAAAAAAAAAAACAGGACCAGCAGATGGCATAATGGTTACATCATAGCTGACCGTGGTTTGAGTCCCAGACCTGGTGACTTAAAACTCACATGTGTCTGCGCCCAAGATCCCAAGAGGAGATGGAGAAGAAAGGATTCAGGCATGGCGATCCTCCCTGGAAGGTGATTTCTCACTTTCTGCCTCTCTGTCTCTCTGGTGAGCACACTTGCCCTATAACAAAAATTTATCTTAAAAAAAAAAAGGAATTGGGGATCGGCAGGTAGTGTGATGGCTAGGGGTTCTAGACTCCCACATGGCCAACTGCAGTTCAATTCCTGAACCTGGTGGCTTGGTTACTCTCACTCTGTCCTTCTCTGGTGAAATGAAAATAAATAAATAAGGACCAGCAGTTGGCATAATGGCCATGTCACTGGACTTCCATGTAGTTGACTGTGATTCGAGTCCCGGACCCGGTGGCTTAAACTCATGCCATGTGAGTGTGTGTGCATGCCCAAGATCCTGAGCCCAAGATCCTGAGAGGAGAATGGAGAAAAAGGGGTTGCGGCCTGGCCGTCCCCGCCCCCGTGGGGTGATTTCTTGCTTATATCTCTCTGTCTCTCTTTCTGGCAAGTGCACGCACCCTATAGCAAAATCTTCTCTACCACAAAAAAAAAAATAAATAAATAAATAATAAAGTTAAATAAAATAATTATTTCAGAAAAAAAGGAATTACTGTTTCTGATGAAAATAAGTCCTTATTTAGGAAACCTGGAAATTATATGGAAGAGAAGGCTATCGCCCCATAGCCAACAGTAGGAACTATAAACATTTTGGTGAAATTTTGGGGGGATGTAAAAATAAAAGCAAGTCAGTCAAATTAGATTTGTCATGGTGCCAAAGTTGTGCCTTGATAGGTTATTTCTCACTCCTTGGCTATTGGGAAAGGAAATGCATACCACCTCGTAGAGGTCTTAGTCTGTATTCCATAACTCCACGGCTTTAGAGCAGCAACTGGTTGGTGTGGGGGTGGGGAGGGTCAAGGTGGTGCAGAGCTTAAGAAAAGCAGCCTTTGCCAGGGTAAGCTCTGAACTCCCCAGTACCTGGCCACCAGAACTCTGTGATGATAGGCAGTGCCAGGGAATAGTTGGGAGATGGGAAGGCAGACCTTTTTCCGGACCACTGGGAATGATTCAGTGGTCCTCTGGCCAGTTGACAGAATTCCTGCCTATTACTCCAGGAGCCAGGTATACTCTCTGAAAGGGAAGAGGCCGAGTGTAAGTTTTTAAAGTTTCCAGTGCCCACTCCATGGCTTTGCTTGGTACACAGATAGACTTATTAACAGCAGTGAAAACCATCTCTATACTGTCAGATGTCTTGGGAGTCCTACTGGCCTTCCAACCTAGACACTGTCAAAACGTGTCTTCTAAACTGTTTCAAAATACTGTACTGGAGAAAAGTGTGTTTGAATTCTAGTTAGCTCTGCTGTCAGTCAGCTAAATCACTGTATCACCACACTCATATGACCAGTGTATGGCCTGTACCTTATGAAGAGCGCAGGGTGGCAACCCTGGGCTAGAGAGAAGACATTGGGTTAAGTCACTCTCTGTTCCAGTCTTCTTGTTTGGGCAAGGGCAAGGTCAGTGCCCTCTTTGGCCCATTCTTACGTGACACAGTGCTTCATGTTAACAGTACTTCATATGCAGCGAATACCTTTTACTTTATTCATTCTTTCATTGAGAGGCAGAAAACCGGAGAGAGGGTGCAGCCTCTGGATCTCATACGTGTGCTCACTCTTCCCTTCAGATAGTGGGTTAAGCCAAGCTGTCCTTGTCCAGGTGAACTGGCAGGAAGGCTCCTCCCTGTACCCCTCCCTCATCCTCTAGACAGACAGCTGAGAGCCTCCAGTTCTTTGCAATAGCTTCTTTTGGTTCCCAGTAGCCTAGAGGTATTTGTCATGACTTCTGCTTCCTAAGAGAAATGAGACAGAAGGTAGGACTAATCATCCCAGAGGAGTCTAAGATAAACCAGGGCTTCAGTGACTGGCAGGTGGCATGGTGGTTAAGGGTGCTAGACTCCCACATGGCCAACCACAGTCTGAGTCCTAGATCTGGTGGCTTGCTATCTCACTTTCTCTCTCTCTCTCCCTCTCTCTCTT